GGCCCGTGTGTCCGGGGCTAGCTCCCACTTCATCTCCAGGGATGGCGAGTGCGCTGTCACGTCAAGAACACTGTACGAGTTCGGAGGCCTGAAGAATGTCGGCCGTCCATCATTTGCCACCGCAAGTCCCATCTGCTCTATTACTGTCATAAGGGCGTCCCCCGTCTTGTCTGTTCGAGCACTTCCCCAAGCCACATTATGTGCGTTGAAGTCGCCGCGTATAAGCAACTCCTCTGATCGGTCCTTACACCATGCCAGAATTTCCTCGCTCGGCAGTTCTGTGCCATTTGGTCGTACATATCCCAGAAGAATGGCGAACGTTCGGTTCCCGATGCTCATCCTGGCTCCCACGAACTCTGCTGAGGTCGTGTAAAGTTGGCTGGTATCGAGTTGTACATGCAGTATTTCCCTCCATATAAATAATACCGCGCTTCCATGTGGAAATCCTGGTATTGCCTGTGTCGTTAGTCTAAAGTATCCAGGTAGCGATCTTTTGCCCGGCAGTCCCGCTTCCGTCATTGCCAGCACCGGGCTTGGGTTGCTTTGCAGATGTAGGCTAACCTCACTGTGCTTGGCGTTGAGGCCTCTGGCATTCCACTGTAGGACGGTCGGTGCCGTTCGAGTGATTGTTGTTCCTCTGGGGGTTTGTGCTGCCATCCCGTGCGTTGCTTGCTTCTATGTGCTGTCCGTCTAGAAGACAGCCCCAAGGAGGCCCTCCAGGAAGAGAAGACTGTTTATTGTTGTGCGGAACTCCGATGGCGGCAGCAGCTCGAGGAGCCGGCGCACTGTGTTGAACACCAAGCTGATAAATTTGCTCGCTGTAGACCGCTCAGCGGACTCTGGAACTGACGTCCCTTGCTTTCACAGTATCCCCTGTGTCTCGGGATGGTAACGTAGCTTCTTTCTGTCCGCCGCCGGATTTGGGGGTGCCCCGAGTGACATCGCGATAGGTGAGACCCCTCGCATGGTTATCCCTGCCACCGTTGTGTAGGTTATCTGCCTTTGCTGCCCCTGCCGGACTAGAACTGTTTTGTGCCCCAGGGTCCACTCCTTGCGCGGTGGTATGGCTTTTAGGCTGCGAGGTGCCCGCTCCGGGTTTCTCTACATGTTGATTGTTGCGCCTTTTGATTTTTCGCTGTTCCTCGACTACCTTGGCCGCTTCCAGGAACGTGATGTTCTCTCGCACCTTGACCTTGCAGGTCTCCTTCTCCTTTTGGAGCTTTGGGCACTTCGTCGAGGTTGCCTCGTGCGCTCGCTGACACTTTACGCACTTCTGTGCTGAAGTGCAGTTTTCTTCACCATGAGCCTGTGCGCATTTGGGACAAATGGCGCTGTTAGGACAGGTTGCCACTACGTGTCCGATGCGAAAGCACTGTCGGCACTGTAGAGGACGGTGGACGAAAGGCCTAACGCTGTGCCTTACTAATCTAATCTTGACGTGGGCAGGAAGCGTGTCACCCTCAAACACAACCTTGACTGCTTGCGTTTTGCCTAGCCGCCTCCGCTGCCGATTATCTTACTCAGTCTGTCTTTGGTGATATCGGTGTCGACGTCCGAAATTACCCCTACTCGTGAGTTCTTCGAGCGAGGGAGAAAAGCTCGGACAGGCACTTCGCATATTTTGGTCAGAATGAGGAGCTCTAACACCCCCGCCTCCGTCCTCGCATCCGTGGCTATTATGTTTTTCCGTGTGTTTACTCGTACCTCGCTAAACTGACCGGGAGCCAGTGCTTCCAGTTGGTCCGATAGCAGCTGGCGGTTGATTTTCCTCAGATTTGTTGCGGGACCGGTTTGCGCGAACAGAACGGTGCGTGCCGTATTAGGAAGTTTGACGATACCTTGGCTCCGTTCAGATCCTTCGTGTCGAGTCCTCTTTTTCTTTCTGTTGACTGTTGTGAAGTCGCCGTCCTCCTTGCTTCCGAGAACGCTGCCGTCCATGGCCCCTTCGTCGTCTTGTAGCATTGATGTTGTGTGTGCAAACTCGCCGGAGCTGCTCTCACTCAGATGTCGCTTTGCTGGCGTGGGGGTCGCTCCTCCGTCCGGAAGTTGGCTGGCGTGGGACATCGTTTGGGAGGCCGGAACCCGCTGTATAGGGTGCTGTTTCCCGTACGGGGTGGTGCCGCCCACCGTGGCCAAAGCCTACGAACTTCCTATCCACTTTCCGAAAACACCCCCGCCCACTGGACTAGAAAGAAAGACTTTCACGTCCCAAGAAAACCGTGCGAACCGGTAGCCACGAGCGCTGAACTCGAAACCTCAACTTTATTTCCGCTGCAGCTCGGTATATATTACCAGCAACAACACAGACAAGTTAGAAATATTATCTTTATCTTTATCCGAGAAATAATTCCAGTTTCTTGACCAAGGGTGACTAGTTTTGGGTGGGTGCCGATGAGTGATGCATTACTTTTTTCCTTTTTTATCTTTTTTATGTTTTTTTAATATTTTTACGGAGTGTATCTTATGTCTTCTTAACTTGTTCGTGTTGTTGCCGGTAATATATACTGAGCTGCAGCGGAAATAAAGTTTAGCTTTCAGTAGCGCTGTGTCTGTGTCTTCTTCGGTGTCCGTTGCCTTGTTGCGCTTTTTAATCATTAGGGGAATTGCGGTCGGGGAGGTACCCCGGCGATCTTTTTGTGGGTAGTTTGGTATGGGGAAGCAGACGACGACTCTCAGGAGCACAGGGGCAATAAGCGTGCGCTCTTCACATTGAGACTATTTCTTTGGTTTTCGAGAACGTACTAGATTAATGGTTTTGATTGCGTATAGCTGCTTTCTTAGCATTTTTGGAGTGTGGGTTGTTTTGTTATTTTATTTCACAACGTGAATTATTTTTTTGGGGGGGACTGGGTCAATCCTGGGTAAGATTTGTTCTCCAAACTTATTTGAAAGGGGCTGTGAGGGTATTAATAATATAACCCAATTTATTATCAGTAACAATAAGCGACCACCGTTTGGTCAACTATCCAGAAACAGAGGTTCTAATGGTGAATTCCGCTCGCAGATCTCGAGCGCTCCAAAAGCGCTCCATTTGGAGCGCGCATATTTTGCTCGCAGATCTGGCTCGAGCTGGTCATCTTCTACTCGTAGATCTCTGGCAATGCCCGCTCCACGGAGCGCCTCAAACCCCGCCGAACTTGCTCTGCGGGATTTCACAGATCATTCCGGAAGTTGACAGAGCGGCCCACGTGATTTCCTTCTAAATCGGCAGTGCGCATGCGCGGCGAGGTTGGAGAGGTCGGCGGGCCGGTCGGGTCGTCGGGTTGGATCTGTTGGGGTGCGTTGGTTGTTTACGCGGGATTGTGACGGCTCGAACGCTTCTATCTCGCGTTGATCAGGGATACAAAGCCGGGACTGTGGAGCGTGGTAAATCTTAAAGGGGCGGTGCAACGATTTTACGATTAGAAGAATTTGCATCTCGTCATTTTTACGTTGTTTATCGTGTCCCGGAGGATGGAGAAAACACCTCCTTTATTAAAAATGTCGCGATTCCGCTGCATAAATGCAAAGCAAAAGTCAAGCTTCTTTCCCCACCTGCAGCCCCAAGTGGGAGCCGAACGAACTACGTCGAAAAGATTAGGTGACCTCGCTCGGCTCTAAAGTGCAGCATAACACCCGCTAATGTCAGCGGAGAGAGGGAGAGGAAGCGTCCTCCGATATAGCACACGGGAAGCCACACGGTTCTCCGAATGACGTCACTAGGAGGGGGACCAGGTGTGACCTTGAATGCTGGGAGTGAGTTGAGGGGTGCCCGAAATGCCAATCTTTATCTTTTTTTCTGCGCAACAACTAGGACACGCAGGCGAAATCGGTTTTCTGTTCTTTACTTCAAAAGTGTCAGAGGGCAACTTCTAGAAATCTTTGACCGAAGTCCGAAAATCGGTGCACTCCCCCTTTAAGTGCTGACATCTGTGATCGTGAGAGGAAGAACAAAAAAAAAAAAAACGACAGAAAATCCTGAGGCAGACGCAAGGGTAGGCCTGTTTATTCTGCAGCCAATGATCTTTTACCTTTTTACACTGCATTCCTCCGGCGTTTTCGCGTGCAATAAACCAAAAAGAGATTAGGCAACGACCATGCAAGTGATGGTTAGTTACCTCTGTGTTTATTAAAGTCGTACCAGAAATCTGAACTGCACCGCTGGCAATCGCTGTCCGCGCCCTGCCGCGTCGAGGCGGCCGAAAGCTATGTGACGGTGCAGAACGCGGACGTCTTCCTCGTTATTTGTGACATGGGCGCCGTGGTACGTATAATTTCGCCCAGCCTGTGTCGCGTGTTATTTCTGCAGCCAAGCAGTGACAGTTGTCACTGGTCGTCGGAAAGATCAGTCGGCTGAGGCTTGGTGGCCTTGTCAAGTTCGAGCAGCGGCCATTTTGAACGACGGAGGGGGAAGCTGTGGAGAGGGGTGTGGGGGAGATCGCTCCGAAAATCCAAGTTTATCTTTCCGTCGTTGATTCGGAGCGGGTCCCACGGAGCGGAATTTTGCTTCCCTTGCGGATTTTGGAAAGCGCTCCGGATCTACGAGTGGAATTCACCATAAATCTTCTAGAACGCCCTAAGCGCGGGAAAAAAAGATATTGCATTTCAAATCGTCGTCTTCCCCACCACAAAATACCCATAAAGAAATCGCCGGGGGACGTCCCCAACCGCAAGTCCCTTCTTTTTATTTTTCACAACAAACTTTCCGGGGGCCCTTCCCCAGTCTCCTCCTCACCCCTCCTCCTTCTCTCTTTCTATTCCTCTTCTCCTTTCTTCTTTCCTCCTCTCCAATTCTCCTCTCCCTCCTTCGTTTCTCCTCCTCCTCGAGCGGAGTGCAACGCCAGATGAATCTGCAGCCAGATTCTCAAAGCGAACTTACGACGAAAAAAGTGCGTACGACAAATTTAAGAGAAAATCCGTATTCTCGAAACGAAATTGTCGTAACTTTTGCGCAGGTTACGACAAAATCCTACGACAGCTCCGAAGCTGTCTTACGCACTTTTTTGCCAAGATGGCTGCTTACATCGCTTTGATGCTCAATCGCGACGCCGACAGAAGTTTGAGGCGCGAGCGGGTGTTCCGCAGTCGAATTACAGTAAACGACGTGCCAGAACACATTTTAGAACGTTATTACCGGTTGCCAAAAGAGGCAATACTCCGGCTCTGTGACGCGGTAGCCGCTACCCTTGTACGGCCGACGGCGCGAAACTGCGCGCTGCCGGTCGACGTGCAAGTGCTGGTGGCGTTGCGCTTCTACGCCAGTGGAAGTTTCCAATCTGTTGTGGGCGAAGTGGGCCACCTAAGCCAGGCGAGCACATCGCGTATAGTGAACAGTGTGAGCCAGGCCCTCGTCCTGATAGCCGGCGAGGCGATCTGCTTCCCCACCACGCAACGATCTGCGGCCCTTACGTCGATTGGTGAGTACCACAGCCTGAGAATACTCAAGGATGTCGATCCGCCGGCGTAAATGTAGTCGAGCAGTTTTATCGCTTTTCTACAAACGCGCTAAATCACAGCGTTAAGGCAGTGTGTCGGCTTACCGTAACTTGATATCAATACGGGCGCGATTGAGCGAAGTCCGCCGCCGCTCATGTGGCGAGCACGCACAAACACAAAACTTGCTAGAATGGCTCACGATCATCGATCGCGACGGACAAAGCGAGCTTGCAATAGAGCTTGCTGCGTCTCGCTGTCAGCCGCATACATCGCCGAAGTGCCACATCTCGGGCAATTCACCCCCTTCAGAATAACACGGAGGTCAGTGTACAGTAGTGAACGATTTTTAGCTCCAGGCTTGTGGATGTTAAGATCGTGGTCAGCGTGCTCTAGACACTCCCTGGTAAACAAGAACAACGATGGTGTTTGGGTAAACTATGCCGTGGCAGAGGATGAAAGGCAGCACTTCATAGAGCTTCCAACAGTATAACAAGTGCTGCACAATTGTGGTGGAGAGCCTCATTTCAAAGCACCAAATTTATAGGTCAGTGAGCAGATTATTGCATGTAGAAGAAACGAGACTGGCCTCCTCAAGCGTGTCGACATTTTTCATCATTTCTGGGCATATCAAAATCTCTATATTCTTTATGCAATATTGGTATTTACATGCTTATCATGCAACTAGTATACTTTGTGTACACATAAGTTGTAAAAAGCTAATGCTACGGCTTCCTCGAGCCAGCCTACGCGATGAAGCGAAGCATGCAGCAGCTCTCCACGGGAAGAGCACTCTTTGACGATACAGTGTCACATGCCTTGCTTCGACGTTCTGATCGGCTTGTTGGGGTTGCACCATGAGCCGTTTGCCAAGTTATAGTGAAATGGAGTGTACAAGGATCACTGTTGTATTGTAGTTGAATGCCTGTTTGCTTTTCATTCATTCTTCAGGGTTTGCTGCAATCGCCGGCTTCCCCAGGGTGCTAGGCTGCATCGATGGAACGCATGTGGCCCTCAAGGTAGCCAAAGCCGACAAGCCTGACTACCTGAACCGCAAGGGCTACACGTCGGTCAACGTGCAGGCAGTGTGCAACGCAAGCAATGTGGTCACACAACTGACCGTGAAGTGGCCAGGGAGCACACATGATAGCTTTATGTGGCGAAACTGTGATTTATATGAGCAGTTTGTCACAGGCACCGCACCTGATGGTTGGTTGCTTGGTAAGTTTCTGATGAAAATATGTAGTAAAGCATTGTTACACAAACATTCAGAGCCTAATGCTAAAACAGGGGTGCACAACATGTAACCCGCGGGCTGCATGCGGCTCGAGGGCACTTTCTGTGTGTCTACGCAGTTCCCAATGAACATTTTCTTGGCACGCGTCATTTTTTAGTTGTGCACCTCTGTGATAAAACAACAGTCAGCAATATGATTGCAAGAGGTAATTTCCATTTGTCTCCCATGGTTGGGAGAGTCCAAAGTAGTACTGATCAAAATGCATTTTTTTAGAGTTGTGTTGTCCCTTGGCAAGACTATTGCTTTGCCACACAATACATGAGGGTCCGTTCATTGCTGAAACCATGAAAAAACATCTTTTTCAGATTTTACAGCTTAACAATCGAAAAGCTTTAATAAAATCCAAGCTGCAAATCTTGGTTGATTACAATTCAATAGACTACTTATATAAAGCCCTGCATGCAACACGGCGCGCGTTGCACTCTGGGAACTAGTTGGCCAGGAAGGGGAGTGCCGTGGCTTCGGTTTCGATCGACATGTGAACAACAGATTATACACAGTGCGGACTACAAACGGCCATTATTTTATGTTTTCTGGTCCTGAGAGCGTCATTTGTGGTATCTAAGCTAACCTAAATGGCCAGTCCTCGAAGCTTTAGCACAAGCCCCAGACGTATTGCTTGTCTTAACGCATGCTTGTTGTATTTTTGTACTTGAGCCTTTCTGTTAGCGTTTCGAGGTATGTGGACTAGCCAGTGCTGGGAATCTCGACGCTGCGAAGCTCGGGGTTCTTGCTTGTGTATGAATCAACAAGCTGTAGACACCAGTAAGTATGCATACATCGAGCTCGCGCCTTTACGTTACTGCTGTTGATCAGAAAGTTTGTTTGTTTCGTGCATCCATAGACGAAATATAACTTTTTGCAATTACTGTTTTTCTTAATACGCCTGAGTATGCGAGGTAAAACTCGTAGGCGCCGTTGAAAAGCTCCATTTGAACACACTTCTCATCGCTTATCTGTACTGCCCCGCAGCACTGCACGAATTTGTGAAGCTGCTCAGTCGAAACTGAAACTGAGTGGCCAACTAGTTCCCAGAGTGCACTGCGTGGTATTTCGCCGCGATGGGGTGCGTCGGTTTTGGAAGAACTTAGGCTTAGATTAGGCTTTTATTTGGTAGATTCAAATGAAAGCACGATTGTGATAAAGTACTCTGCCGATGAAACTAGCTGTGCTGTCGTGTCACCGGCACAAAAGATTGCTCCACGAAAAGTGGGGCGCTCGAATTACGCAACACAGTTTGTTGCTTGTTTCTGGATGCCGAAGATTAACGCACTGCAGGAACGTTGTTATCTATGGTGTGCTGCTGTTCCCGCAATGTGAAAGGATTGCAAAACAACAGAGTGAACGTCCAACGAGTTAAGCGGCTCTTTGGTGAACATGTGTTAATATTGTTGCCGTCTTTCCTCTGCGCCAACAACAGAAAAAACAAGGTCTCGCACTTCCCTGCTTTCCCCACAATGTGGTACGCATTTGGTTGTGCTCACAGTCAGCACAACTGTATGAAGTGACCTTTATACATAGTCTCGGCGATGGGATAGTTGCCTTGTAGTTTCAGTGTATCCTGAGTCTCGGGTTTTTAAAAGATGAACTGTCGGGAGCTTGTCTCGCTTAAGTGAAGCAACATGAAATGACCATCTGAGCCCGTCTTGGATAATGCAGGGGACGCTGGGTACTCTGTCCAGCCGTGGCTCATGACCCCAATTCGAGCACCCAAGGACCAACCAGAGGTGGACTACAATGAGGCCCTGACGAAGACCAGACAAGTCATCGAGCGGACGTTCGGGCTCCTGAAATCCCGCTTCAGGTGCCTGGACAAGTCTGGAGGCTTCCTTCAATACAGACCCAAGATCTGCTGCAAGATCATTGTGGCCTGTGTGGTTCTTCACAATTACTGTATGCGCCACCACGTGTCTCTCAACGAACCACTAGGTAACATAATAGACCTTTTCCAGAGTGGAAGTGCCCCTAATGGAAAGGCATTACGCAGCACATTTTGGTTTTCAGTTGCTCAACCTCAGTTCCGTCATCATGTCGCGACCAAATGCACTGCCACATTTTACACATACTGTCGCAATAACTTTGAGGGCTCGTAGATCGAAACTGAAGCCCTGCCACCTCTTTCCATGGCCAACTCGCTGCCAGAACGCAGTTTCACACGCAGGGGTTTATAGAAGTAGGCTATTACAAGGCTGCTTTTTGGTGGGCGTTTTTGCACAATCTTTTTATATATTGGACCGCATCTGTTCACTTGACACTCTTAGCTCAATGAAATAATTTGTATCACCGGACCTATTTTTTTTTTGTGCAATGAAAACGTTTTTTGCAGTAAGCAAGCTATCTTTCAGAGCTGGCTCAGGAGAATAATTAAAAGACATTTGTTTCTTGCTAACCACCTTTAGCTTACAAGTTCTGTACAAACTAGCAGGTAGCAGTCACCATATACAATTGGCATTTTCTGCCTTAAATTTTTATGAGTGGGAAAGCGCTCTAATGAATATTCTCTTATGTATACAGTTGACCTGTCTGATGATGAAGAAGAAGAAGAAGAGGAGGAGGAGGAGGAGGAGGAGACACCCACACTAGCACCAAGAACTAGGAGGGCACGACCCATGGTGGCGGGTGCGGCTGCAAGAAGTGCAGTTGTTCGCCACGCTTTTACTTAAAAGTGTCCTCTTCCACGAGGAGCAAGTAAAGGTGCTGGAGACAAGCATGTGAGAGTGCTCCAAGCAATGAAGTGTTGTCACATGCTTTGCTCGGACACTCACTTGGCCAGTACCTTTATTTGTTGGTCAACAGATGTTGAAACGGGGCAAAATACATAGGTTTATTCAGGAAGAACAGGAGCGTTAACAAATTGCACTCCATATTTCTGTGCCTTTAGGGCCACTAACTGTTGCTGCGCCGCTAGCATGCCCTGCTGCGCCGCTAGTATGCCCTGCTGCGCTGCAACCAGTGCATCGAGCCGCTCCAGGATCGCCACCTGCGTCTGCAGGATCTCGTGTCCCACATCTTTGTTGTCGCCTGAATTGGTGGAGTAATGATTTGTTATTTTTTAAATTGGCTATGGGATATGTATACACACATGTGCCAGAGATCCTCAAAATACTAGCTCAAAATGATGAACTTTAATTTTTATTTAAATGTTTTTTTTTCATGTGTCGTGAAAAGTGCCTGTACATAAATATCCCCTCTAGCTTTGTGTTTTGAAGTATTTCTGAAAATAAATTTGTCAGCTTTGAAGTGTGGTCCTGTTCAGGATTGAAAGCATGGAGCACAAATAATCATCCAATTTTCTTTGCTGCAATCATAGTTTGTACTGCTACATGTTGCATGGATGTGTGACATAACCATTGTCATTCACACTTTAGACATTGAAAAATACAGGTGCTAGCAACCATGTCGGAGAGCTTTTGAATGTCGTCTGTGTAGTTTAGAGGTCTTCCAGTGATGTCACAGGTTCAAGCGGAAGTGTTGGACGTTTAGAAGCTCCTCAAAAAGTGACGCACAGCAAAAACATTAATCTAACAACAACAATGCAAGAATGTATAATCATGTTAAATATGTGTTTTAAGTATACTCACTCCGTCGATCTGTTGGGGGTGTGCTGGCAGCTATCTCAACAGCAGCCCTTGCTGCTGCAGCCCTTACTGCTGCAGGCCGTGCAGATGCAGGCTGTGCTGATGCAGGCCGTGCTGATGCAGGCCGTGCTGATGCAGGCCGTGGTGTTGCAGGCCCCGGTGTTGCAGGCCGGGCCGACGCAGGTCGCGCTAATGCAGGCCGTGCTACCGAGGGTTGTGAACTCACGGCTTCTGCAACTGCACCTCCACCTAATGAATAAAATATGTGGCGCTTCATGCTTACAGACTACTGTGTGATGGCTAAAGTGCCCGACACGGCCAACAAAACAACGTAATCATCGTACAATGTGCGTGAATGAAATTGGGTGGGATCAGAAGCAAAACAGATGTTAATGTATGAGGTCAGTCTGGTGTACAATTCTGCTGGTTATGCTGGAGATGAGGAATTTGGCCAGTGCAGTATGACTGCTAGCCTAAAGTCTACATGTATCGTGCAGTAGTGATAACCGACAGCACGCCGATACGATCTTAATCCAGATTGAAGCTGGCACAAATATGGAATGAAAACAGGATCCCTGGATTTTGAATGCGTGCTTGGAGCTGCGGAACACTAACACACCAGGCCACCGATCCTCCTTACGGAATTTCTGACCCAAGTAACGGTGTGCACTGTGTGCACCAGCAATCTAAGGTCTCCTGGCATGTCGTGATGCTTGTCGGATATTTAATTGCTGTGTAGTCGCAGTGGTGCGGCTAAACCCAAACTTGTTCGCTGCAAACTCGGGTTTTGGATAACTGGAACAGGGTTCGACAGTTGAGTGACAACTTTGACCAAATGTTTTCATTTTCTATACATGGGCAAGACGTGAAACATGTTACTAAATATTTCAGATGCCGAATGTAAACACTTGTACAAGAATACCCATAGCGTTGTTCATAATACTCACTCTGGTTGCACAGCATGCCATCCGAGGTACTGGGACTGGGACAGAGAAAAAGAAAGCACTTGTAATTTAACTGCAACTGTATATGTAGCACTTTAACTCGTTGATAAAGATAAAAACTGACCTTGAGTGCACCGACCAACTTCGTTGTGGTGCAGTGCTGGATCCAGCGCCCGGATCTATGACGAAAACTGAAAATACAATGTAATATTTTCACAATTTTATAAGAACATTGAGATATCGTGAACTTACAATCGGGGGAGATTTCCGAATCGCGATCGGCAGCTACTTGGGTCCTTTCGTGACGCTCTAGAAAATTGAAAAGGAAGAATCGCTCAGTTTTTCAATCAGCCTTTCATGCTTCTAGTGCTAGCAATACACGTTCGACATCATCAACCAGAGTGAAACCTCCCAGTATGTGCTGGGGGGTGGGGGGAGGCACCTTGCGCATTGGTGAACATTTAGCACTTACCCAACTGCCGTGCTCCGATGTCGAAGGCCCCTTCGATTCCTACTAGGGAGGCTTCGCTGAGGAGGCCGATCACCCGCTCCTCGGCGTCCGTTAGCTCCGGCTCTCCCGGGCCACCACCTGTCGCATTTTGGCTGCGCCGGACTGCAGCGCCTATACATTGCAACAAGGTGGTAAATCACGTGTAGCTTTACACTCAAATTGTTTAACTGAGTAGAGAATCTACCAAGCCTTACCGCGGATTTTGTTTGCACTCTTGTAATCGGTCCACTTTTTCTTTACTTCGTTGACGCTCCTCCGGACTCCGGAGACCGCGAACAGCGACGCGGTAATAATAGCCCACGCTCGCTGCTTGGCTAACGAGCCGTGCGGGCCACTTGTTTTTGCCTGAATGGCTAGCTTGTGGTCTTCGTAACCGTCGACCAAAGCGGTAATCTCCGCTTCCGAGAAATTTGGCATTCGCACTTTTTTGCACTCCGGTTCCGACATATTCACGCGCACGTGTGTTGTTCTAGGCGTTGTAAACACGCGCACGTGTTTGAAACTACGCTCATTGGTTGTTGGAGTCGCCGAAGACGCCGTCGCCATAGCAACAACAAGCTCTCGCGCTATTTGGGAAAAGGCGAGACACCGGAAGTCGTCGTTTTTCCGTAAGAGGTCGTAACCGGTCGTAACTTTCCTCCTCTCACTTAAGAACGCGTTTGTGAATACCGTTCCTGCCTCATCTTACGATGATCGTAACTTTACGAACATCGTAGCTAAGATGTCGTAGGTAAGAGGTTTTTTATGAATCTGGCCTCTGTACCCTTTTGTGCTTGTGAAAGCTTTACTCTAGCGGCTGCATGCAAGAGCGGTGATTGTGTGAACGCTTGAATCACTTAAAATGACCAACGCCAGGACATTTTTTCCTCATTTAAGGACGGTAACTTAGTGTCTCGCATTTCCATGAACTGGCTTGAAATCACGTAATAAATGGAGGCGCCAGACGTCGATTGAATGTTTTAACGTGATCAACCGCCACCCTTTATTTGATTAATTAATAAATTAATCGGTGACTGATTTCCAGGCATAATATCGGTAAAAAGCAAAAGTACACTTTTATGTTGTTTTTATGTGATAAACGAAGCAATGTACCTTTACTGCACTGTGCAATGTACATTTTCTGCACCTTACTCAGCTGAAGCATCTGCAGTTGCGTAATGGGTAAAAAAACACTCGCAGTTTATTCCAGCCGCGAAGGTGCAGGAGCTTTCTGCTCTTCTTCAAAATGAGAGTTTCTTACGTCTTTCCAATCATCCTTGCTGCATTTAGACAGGCACTGGAGGGGCGTTTTAGCCAGGAGATGCGTTACCTTTCTCGCGAGCGACACTAGCTCAGGAACGACGAAGCACTGCGATTGTCACCGCAGTTCACTGTTTCCCACGTCTGTTGTGGAGCGATACATCCACACATTCAGGCTTTTTGTTGACCATTCGACACCGCGCTCTAGTTGTGAAGGTCGGCTTCTTTGAGAGGATTGACAACGTCGGTGGCATCAAACACTTGACTAGAGTCATCTTGCTGGGACCGTGCTCAACGAAGTATTATGAACAATGTGTCGGCGGCCGTCGATGCCAGTGCAGCCAGGAAGAAGTCCCATACCCTTACAGGTGTGCCTCTAAGTGAGCGCGCCATAAGTGGAACTCAAGCCGCGGGGCTCAAGCGTGGTGTCCCTCTTGGTGAATTCACGCGTGCAGTGAACGCGCTGTCCTTGAGGAGCGTCTGCTCTAGATGGCGCGCTCCTGAGTGTCATGGACAGGTCATGGACGCCTTCGGCTTTCTATGAAAGCCAAGAAAAAACATGGAATTTGTTTGTAAATTGGACCCGCCCTTCGAGTTGGAAGTATCCCTGGCTTAGCCATGATAATTAATGACGTTATTTGTCAGTTTCTTGCCTACGAACAGGATAATGTTTTCGTTTTGAAGATGGTAAGCACGCAATTAAGAAAACAAGAAAATAATGCTTGTTTTGGTCTTGGTTTCCCGGTTTCATGTTAAACGAATTAGCCAGTTAACAAAAAATGATCGCGATTATAGCATTACTCGATTAATTGGAAGCTTAACCGATAAATTGCCCAGCCCGAAAAAAAAAGTGCCGTTTTAGGTTACCGCTTAAGTCGATTACGAAATGTTCTTGTCTACTCAGGGTCAGTTCACATAGGCGTCCAAGAGCTGAGAAAACGATGACTTGGAGCTCATTTGGCGCTGCACTTCGTGTGAACAGGAAAAGCCGGGTCTCATGCAGCGGAGTGTGGATACAGCCCTGAAGTATCACAATGTTAGTACCGTGTTTATAGCGATGAGCTAGCGCCGTGTTAATGGCGTGAGCGTGCCTTTAGTGCCGTCTTTCGACTTTCGACGTGCTATAAAAACCATGGCTCCTCTTACCAGCTGGACGTCACAATCTTCGTTATCGCATGGCCCACGGTAACCCGTCTTTTGTATGTGGGAATATTTGTTTTAAGAAAAATTTACTGTTAGTATTTTTTTCTATAACAGTCTAGTTTTTTTTTACAATATCTGCGCGGCTAGCCAATTCGCGATTGCTAACATTTAAATAATCGAAGTATTATAGCACATCAGAATGACATTCATATGTTATTGACCCCGTTGAACCGCTTACCTGCACGCGAAAGTAGTTTACGGTTACTTCATCATAATACACAATGGAACCCTAACTCGTTTATTATGATGTAACCTTAAGAAAATCATCTGAACAATATGTCTGATGAATTCCTTGCTCCAGAGATTGATCGTCTTTGTTAGGATTGTCGTGACTTTAATTATGCCAAAATCGTGTCACCGCTGTGCCTGCTTGCATGCCGTTTAATTTGTGGCATTGTCTTTACGCATAGGCGCGTTGTTTTGTCGACATGTGCAACACGTACTCACTCTCACAAATGATTAACAAAGCAACTCTCAGTTCTGCAACACTTAAACTTTTTCTTACTAGAAATCCCAATTCAACATCCGTGACGGCTGTTGAACTCCTAGAGGAACTTAGTGACCACTTGCGTATTATCGTCCAATTAAACACACCGACTCTAATGTTTAGCCCTTTAGTCAAGACAGTGTTCAGCTATCCACGTGCCGACCAAAAAGCCCTATTATTTTGCTTAATAAGTCTCAAGCTATCACTTTTTGAAGGTTTTTAAATACAACTGTGAACAAAAATGGGAATCTTATTCACACTGCTTTAATAGATGCATTGCAAATTTTCGTTTCTAGAGTTCATATCAGGTCATGTACGAAGCGCCCTTGGTTAACTTTCCGTCTCAAACCTTCCTTGAGTAAAAACCAAAGGCCTTACAGTCGCAAAAAAATAAATACTCTCCATCTGCAGCCTAAACATATCGAGAATGCGCTTTGACGTGTAAGTAAGAAATTAAGAAGTCCAAGCATAAGTTTGTTTTTTCTAATATAGATTTGTTTAACCTACTGAAAACAGATCACAAGAAATTCTGGACTGCTGTAAAACCTAAGCTACACAAAATGCCACCCCGCATTGTTTACCCTAAAGGAAATGAACTTTCCGAAATTGAGAGCTGCGAAGCCCTAG